GGGACGAGGACGAGGACGAGGACGAGGACGAGGACGAGGACGAGGGGAGGACGAGGACGAGGACGAGGACGAGGACGAGGACGAGGGGAGGACGAGGAGGGAGAGGATGGATCAATGTGACTTCAATTATCTTCAGCACTATTGGGCTCATCGTTACAGTACCTTACAAGGTGAACACTCTCCCCGCTCCTCTTTCCCCTCTCCTCTCCCCCGCTCCTCTCCCCCTGTCCTCTCTCCCGCTCCTCTCCCCCTGTCCTCTCTCCCGCTTCTCTCCCCCTCTCCTCTTTCCCCTCTCCTCTCCCCCGCTCCTCTGAGTGAACGGATGCCCTCAGGGGACAGGGCAGTTCTGCCACATGTGCGTCAACTGCGGGTCCAAGAACGTCACCAGCTCTCCCGTGCGAGGAGAGGACAGCTTCTTGTGACCAGTCAAGATCGTGGGAAGTCAGGCAGGGAGACGGTGGGAAATGGTCAGATCCGATCATGCCGTGTTCAACCATACTTTGTAACATCACATCACATCACATCACATCACATCACATCACATCACATCACATCACATCACATCACACCACACCACACCACACCACACCACACCACATCAAGTGAAAGCTATCAGGATCAAAGAAAGCAAAGGATGAATCGAAAAGAGCTAAGAATGTCTAAGAGCATGAAGTACCTCAAGATTGTGAATACACCAAGAAGATGATATTCTTCGAGCATGCACGTGATGCCAGGACCTGGACATGGCAAGAGAGCTAGCAGAGATGAGAGGGAGGTTGGGGAGGGGGGGAAGAGGGAGGGAGTGAAGAGGTCTTCATTCAATCACAACTTAAAATTTGTTCATCGATGAAGCTGTCTGCTCGCCTCGAGCTCCTCCCTTGTTTTGTCGTCCTCTGCCCATACCATCTGTCTATCTCTTCCACTCTCTGCCTCCAAGTGTATACATTGACATCACCAGCGCAACAAGATGGCGGGAGAGACGGTTTACCTGGGATCACGGTATCCGTACGACCGTGACTTCTTTCCTTGGGACTGCAAGGCAGGGTACAGGCTGAGGATGGACAAGCGCTGCAGTGAGCGGGTATGAGAGGAGCGAGGAAGAGGCATGAGATAACAACAAAAGTCAATGCTATCAATTACGCAATACGGAATGCAGGTCAAGGCAGCAGCAGGAATGAAGGCAGGAGCAGTGAGCAGGGTTGGGGAGGGGAGGGGCAGGAATGGAAGCTGGCAAGGGCAGGAGCAGGAGCAGCACACAGCATGCGTCGCAAGATGTGTGTGGAGGAGGAGGAGGAGGCTTAGTGCTTCTGCTGCATGCGCTACCGTAAGATCAGTCGCCGCAACAGACTCGGTTGCTGCATTTCCTTGCCTTGACAAATCCGTTACAATCCGTAACGGATATCGCGTCCTCCCTTTCTGGTCGTTGGTACCGCATGGTTTGGCTCTGTTTCTTTTTTTTAAGAGTCATGTTGGGCAGCAGTTGAGACAGATAACAATATGTATGAAGGATTTTGCTGTCCTCTTTGATCTCCTATACAAAATTCTGAGGCAAGCTGTCATAGAGCTCACTTATAAAATCACTTTTCGGAAGTTGCACTTCAATATGCCGCGACGATTCATGGCAGAGAAAGCAGGAGCAGGAGCAGGAGCAGGAGCATGGTTGGCGATGCTACTGGTCATGCTGATGCTGCTACATCAGCCCGTGCAAGCTCAGAGAACTTGTGGTGTCTGCACCTTCCAGGTCGTCAGCGGACAAGTTCTTAACAAGACGGTAGGAGGAGACTGCGGGACTGGTTGTACAGTACTTGATCTCGAAGACTTTGGATTCAGCAGCATCGCAGACGGAGCTTTGACAGCCTCAGACCTTACCAGCATGACACAGCTCTATATGGGCACAAACCAGCTGACAAGCATACCTACAAGTATCAGCGAACTGACCAGCTTGACGTATCTCTACCTGAACAACAATTATTTGACGAGCATACCAGATGGCTTCTTCGATAAGCTCACAAATCTGACACGTCTCGATCTAAGCGGAAACCAGCTGACAAGTCTACCTAGGAGTATCAGCGGCCTGACAAGCCTGCAGCAACTCGTCCTAAAAACAATAAGCTCACCGTTGTCTCTGCTAGCAACTTTGTCGGACTTACAAGCCTGCAACAGCTTTATCTCTCCAACAACAACATCTACTGCATCGATGCTGCCGCCTTCGCCTCTATCCCTGCAAGTGCATCCATCGACATCCGCTACAACAACGCCAGCCTCTGCGTGCATCCCTCCTGGCCTGCCTCTGTACAGTATGATACCGGCCTCCAGAACTGCTCTGACAACACCAGCCCCTGCTTGACGTGCAGCCAAGCCGGAGACCCTCTGCTCTGCTCGTGCCCTGCTGGCTTCTTCCCTCAGCTCTCTCTCGGGCTCTACACCTGCCAGCCTTGTCCCCCAGCCTCCTTCAAGTCTGCCCCGGGCACGGCAAACTGCTCCGCCTGCTCCACCAGCCCCTGCGACGTGGGGCAGTACCGGCAGGCCTGCAACAGCACGAGGGACGGGGAGTGCGGGGAGTGTACGAACAAGATGGCGGGGGAGACGGTGTACGTGGGGTCAGGGTATCCGTACGATCAGAACGCCTGTGCTTGGGACTGCAAGGCAGGGTACATGCTGAGGATGGACGAGAGCTGCTCGGCCTACTGCGAGATGGTGTAGGAGGGGAGGACGAGAAGAAGAGAAGGCAGGGCCGTGTTGAAGTCTGACCTGTGACATTCAGTAAAGGAGAAGGTGTTCAGGGTTTGTGGCTGTAACTTGTTATGAACTTCGATATATCACTTGACTCTCAAGTGTTGGGTTTTGTGCCAGTGCCATCTACGTCTTGTCCCCACGTACGATAGTGTGACTGCGGGCCGCGAGCGAGGCCCCGGATCAGCACTGAGTGCGACGGCCGTCTGTCTTGCTGCTGACTCGCATTCAGAGTGGGTTAACTACCGTGATCCGATGATAGTGCGAACCAACCCTCATCCTATCAGTGATACCTGAGCTGGCACGCAGGACCAGACTCGACCCCCGCGCCATGCCGTGGCCGCTCTCAGCGAAGGAGGGAGACTACCGTACTGGCCTCGTACTGATTTTTAACTTAACTTTGAGTAAACTGAGTCACCGGAGTCGCTGCACTGAGTTGCCGGGGCCCGGGGCGGGGCTGGTTAAAAATGCTTTCCTGATGATAAGGAGGAGGAGCCGTGCACGACGGGACGAGGAGCAAGGATCAGGACAAGGAGCAGCGAGGTAGCAGTGGGACAAGCCTCTTGCTGGGAGGACGAGGATACAAGTTGCAGGGCAGCGAAGATCATTGAAGAATCCTCGTAAGAGAAAGGACAATGAGGAGCGGAATGGCAGCATCGATGTTTGATCCGGCAACGAGCATGTAGGCGGCATGCAGGTCGAGGACGAGGACGAGAGGAGGGGCATACGGCTGCACAAAGAGGAGGGAGAGGGAGAGGGAGAGGGGAAGGAAGAGGGGAGGAGAAAGTAAAGCAGAATCAGGGGAGGGGGCAGAAGCATCAAGAAGCCCAGCAGCAGCAGAGAGAAGAGCGGGACCAGCATCAGGAATGGAAGCAGGAGCAGGTGCAGGAGGAGCATAAGGAACAGGATCACAAGCAGCACCACCAGGAGCAGGAGCAGGAGCAGGAGCAGGAGCAGGAGCAGGAGCAGGATGCGTCGCCAGAAGTTGGGGAGGAGAAAGCAGTGCTGCAGCAAGAGCAGCCTGATCGAACCCGGCAGCATGCAGCAAGCTCCACAGCTGATGCTGGTGCTACTTATGCTTCCCTTCTTCACGCGTGCCTCCTGCGCCTTGCCGCCTCTCGCGCATGGTCGACCTCCTCGACCTCCTCGCGACTGCTCGTGGCGGTGGCGTTGCGGTGCGTGGAGGAGCGGAAGTACCGGATGGCGTTGAGGAGGGAGGCAGTGAAGGAGAACATCCCGCAGAGCCTTCGGAGGACGAGGCTGTTCCTGTCCGATGGCTGGATGGACTTCCAGGACGTCGAGCGGTACCAGGAGTGGATGAAGATGTATGCTGTGCTGGAGGAGAAGAGCCGGGAGCTGCGGGTCGGGCAGGGGGAGCTGGAGGGAGCAGAGGCGAAGCTGCGGGACCTGTCTGAGTACGAGGAGAGCTTGTACCATGACATGGAGAGAGGAGGAGGACTGGGGGGAAGTGGAAGAAAGCT